ACATAAATAAAAACTTGCAGAAAACTTGCGACAATAAATCTCTAGATCTAGAGATAGTTTAAAAACATGATTATAACTTTAGACCTAGATCTAGATCTATAGGGCTGGTAAGTAGGTCAATAAACAGTTCTGTGGCTCATGCAGTTTTTATTGAGCCGTAGAACTGGTTGGTGAACTACTTACCAGCCCTAAGAGATTAAAAAAAAAAAAGAATAGGCCTATAAAAAAGAATAGAACAATGATTAGATTAGCGAGACTTGATTAACAATGATGAATAGTATAGCTATACTATAACAATAAAAAAATTCATAAAAAACGTTTTAATAACAAGCTTTTATGTACTAATGCACTAAAAAGTAGAAAATAAATTATACACTACTATTTAAATTACTAGAAAGAAAAGCGTGGGTCACTTTAGTATCTATTGGATACTTTTACTAATGTTAAGGAAGACACCCACGCTTTTCTTTATAGTAATTTAAATAGTAGTGTATAATTTATTTTCTACTTTTTAGTGCATTAGTACATAAAAGCTTGTTATTAAAACGTTTTTTATGAATTTTTTTTTTAGTACTTTACATGTTTTATTTACAATAGAGTTACATGACTAAAAACCATTGCGCGCCTACTGAACATCACGTTCAGTAGGCGCGCAATGGTTTTTTAACGCAGCCATTGAACGTGATGGCGCAGCTATTGAAGGTGATGACGCGTGTGGTGTGGTTGGATAGACATGCCTACTAATTCGGTCCAAATTTTAATTAATTCATAAAAAATTAATTAGGCATCCTATTAAGTCAAATTTAATTTCAGATTGCATTGTCTTCATGTCTTGACCCACGTGTCAAATGTGAATCGTATCGGTCAAGTAGAAGTGTCCGAATTTTCACTCCTGACTGACTCCTGCGTTTCGGTCTAGACAGACTGACGAGGAAGTGAGTTAAATAAAAGCTTGTAAAAATCATTTGCAAAATAAAATCATAAGTAGGCCGCTAACATGAAACTAAAATAAATCTAGAATCTATCAAAATTTGTAAACTTTTGGTACTCTGTATTATTAAAATAAAATTTAAAGATCGCGCCTAATAAAAAAAATGGTTTACTGTATTTCCGGTGTATTCCGAAATGGGTAAAATCTTAGTTTAGCGTCGTAAATTCCAACGTAGCTAGTAATGTGCGATGAAGGTAACTAATGAATATTTCTTTCATTTGGCCATATTTATGTCATATTTTACATAATATAACAGATAATTGAATAAGAAATCACAATCCAAGACCAAACCAGTCATAAATATCCCGGAATAAACTTTAAACTACCCCGTTCGAGACAACAATGAGTAAATTCAAGTAGCGTCCATGTTTAAAAAACAATAAATTGTCTATTCGCATGTCTTTTGTGTTGATTTTGTGGTTTAATATGATTGTTTTGTATTGTTTTAATACATGCCTGGGGGTCGTCCATAAATGACGTCACACTCGTAGGGGGAGGGGGTCCGTAATTTTGTTACGTTGTGGGGGGGGGGGAGGGGGGGTTCAGATGGTGCGACGTCACACTTTTGCATTTTAAAAAAGCAATGTTAGAAAACGAATTTTAGACGTTATTTTCCGTTTTAGAAAACTGTTTCAATACATTGTAATAACAATTGATTAAAATACTCTATTTTGACAGAGTTCAGACAAGATTTTGGAAAAATATAGCTGTTTAAAAACAATTCAACTGCAATTTTGAGGGGGGTTGTAGGCTGAGGTTTGACGTCACTTTAAGGGGGGTGGGGGTCTGGCTTTTTGTGACGACGTGTGACGTGGGGGAGGTAAAAATCGTCATAAAAAGCGTGACGTCATTTATGGATGAACCCCTGTATAATTATTTTTCTTTTTTTTTTAAATATAGTTGACATGAATGACTATTAGACTTTTTCAGACTTAAAAGTGTGCATCCAAGACCACAACAATTGTTGGGAGGTCGAACTTGTGAACACTTTATTTGCAGTAAGTAAATCAATATTAGATCGCACATAAATGACGTCGCTCTTAAGATAATAATGACAGCGTGAATTATTACAGAGCAAACATATGAACATATTGTTTCAGATATAAATTGTGATTTGTGGTGGGGAGAGGTTGAGTAGAACTCAGCGATGTGATTTTGGAGACGGGTCAGGTTTTTTTTTCGTGAAAACAGGGGATGGTTGTGGGAGAAAGACCAGCTGTAGAAGTATGACGCGTCATTCATTGGTGATCCATTTTCTCAGTGGGGACGATAGAACTATTAAGAAGGGTCAAGAAATGTAAAAAGCTTGCCGAGTCGCATTTCTTGAACCCCACCTTTTTCATTCCCCCACTTAGCACATCGTCACCGAGTTAACGCTCGCACGTGACGTCATGTATACCGGTACCGCCGACCGTTAGGCTAATTTTATAGAAAAAAAAAACAACATACACTGCCTTTTTGACGCTTTTGCGACTTTTAATTTGATTACATAAGTTGGTGTTCATTAAACAGCCCCTAACACATCTATCACTCGTCCATTTAAACGTACGTAGTTATTTCTGCAAGCTTGCTGTCTTGAGACTTTCGGCCCTTTAAAAATGTATTAAGCTCTCACCGTATAGAACTAGACTACCCATATTAAGCTCCAAAAGAAGCTTGGTGAAAACAGGATGGCCGTCCGATTTTGAAGCTGCTCTGAGCTTTATAAAAAGCACAATAAACGATAAAATGACACTTATATTAAAGTAAATTATAGTTCTGAATCTTGATAAATTAAAAGTGATATTCGGAAATTAAGAGCCAGACAGTCAACATGATATTTCAATTTAAGTCCAAGAAAATAAATTTCCTCAAACGATGGAACATTACTAAATTTTCGCGCAGTTTAGCGAAATTGAATTTAAGTATTTACGTCATCTTACAAAGCGCGATAGCCTACTGGTGCTCTAACGGGGCCCATGCTAATGGCCGTATTCCTAACGCCCCGCATTAGACACGGCTTATTCGTCGGCAGGCATTTGGTGGCAAGCCTTTTTGACGGGGATAATGTGTTAAGTTAAGGCCGTTTTGCCAAATGTCTTAAACTAGCAGGCTTGCAACATTTGTGATGATTCGTTTTAAGCAAGGTATACGTATACTAATGCTTATTTATCGTTATTTTGATTGAACAAAGCATTATAGAGGTTCTCCATCAATCACCTAGGTATTTTTCCCCGTTCACCTCCTTTCATGAGACCGACACGTCATAAATTGCGGAGCCGCCTGAGTTGACGTCACAAATCTTCACTGATTCCCGTAGCAAATCATATGTGACATCATTTATGGACAACCCCATATCACTCACTTGGGTACTTGATATTGACATTTTGACAACAAAGGATAGCCAAAATGTGTCTGGCAGGTGGAGACTTGCGATCGACCATAATGACAACACGCACTTAAGGGGTGGAGTGGCTGATTATTTTAGATGATGTTTTACGAGGGAAGCTGGTGGATAATACATTTTGTCTCTCTGTATATATAAATGATGACAAACATTTATTGTTGTCAAAATTATGGCTAGAGATCTTAGATAAGGCAGAGCGAAGCGTATTTTTTTACATTAGGGGTCATCCATAAATGACGTCACGCTTTTTTTGACGATTTTTACCCCCCCCCTCCCCCTCATCACACATCGTCACAAAATTACGGACCCCCCTCCCCCTACGAGTGTGACGTCATTTATGGATGACCCCTTATGACTTGTTGTGACATTGACAACATATGACGGAGGTTGGGGTTTAATTAAGGTAAAGAGAAGTAAAAAATGTCATAAGTTACGATAGAATCACTAATTGATGAAAAGAAAAACCTGAAATGAAAATAGTGAACATTCAAACAGTAAGAAAAAACTCAAACTATCTAGTAATAGTAAGATCAAATAAACATTAGTAAAAAAAAAAAAAACGTGATTTAAAACATGGATACAAGTTGCATCTCACAATGCTTCTAGAATTAATAAAGTTGTTTGTTAGGAAATTCAGTTTTTAAAGAGCAGAATTTTAAAAAAAAATGCTTTCTAATACGGACTATACAACAAGACAATCATTAATCATATTTAAATACATTTTCATACGAATAGAAATGAAAGGGAAGCTACTCTAAATAACATTTTCTTAAGATGGCTGCTGTTTTTAATAGCAAATTTACTATCTCGAACAGGGTTGATAACAATTAATTTCAGGATATTTAAATTGATTTTACCATAAATGCTGCTCTATTATTCAATTATTGGTAATCCTTTAGTTTAGCGTCGGTTATTATTCCGGAATCGTATAGCAGTAAAAAAAACAGTAAAACAATGCCAAAGTCTGTCACACACTTCCGGAATTCACCGGAAGTACTGTAAACTATACTTTATTTGGTGTCATCTTTTATTTTTATACAGAATGTTTAAAATTTAAATAGATTTATTTTTGTAATTATTTTTACATTTTGTAATCATTTTTACTATTTTCGTAATCTAGATTTTTTTACTTGGCCTAGCAGCTAGATATCTAGCTAGATCTAGATCTAATTAATTAATGGTAGCAAATCCGCTGCAAGAATATTACCTACATTAAAACATTTGACTTCATTATTTATATTTATATTAGTAGGCCTATATGTTTTTTTTTATTTTTAGATCTACTAATTTAAATCTACTATTATATTTATTCTTGTTTCCTTTTGTCGATTAAACTTAAAAAATTAGGCCTAAAACATTAATTTACTACAATCGACTTTCAATTTATTTATATTCCAATGGTCAAATAAACCATGGTTTACCGTAACTCTAGTTACCGAGACTCAACAAACATTACCCGATAATTTCCGACGCTAAACTAAGGGATTACCCAATTATTTATAATATTTTATCAAAATATACGAAAATATACTATATACTCATATTTAATGACATATTCATTAATGCACTCTCTCCTACATTACCAGTTTTGGCCGAATTTACGACGCTAAACTAAGATTTTACCCCGAAATGGTGTGGCAGACTCTTCACAGTTATTTGCGTGTTGTTTACTGCTAAACCATTCCGTAATAGTTAATAGTAATCGTGAGATTACTGATAATTTTATAAGAAATGATCAAACCAATAAAACATATCCCGAAATGAACTTCAAACCATTGTGTTTGAAATAACTGTGGAGCAAATACAAGCAGCGGCCATCTTTCAAATATTAGAGTAGTTTCCCTTGAGAATTTTCTATTTGTATGTCTGTTCTTTTGATATTATTGTTTAATGTTAAAGTATAATTATTTTATTAGTACAAGCGATCCCGCCCTCACGCTGCAGCGGGGGTGATGCAATACTTAAAGAGATTTACATATATCCATTACCAAAGTGTACTTTTAGACGATTAACCAGTTTTTCTAGAACTAAGTTATTTAAATGTAAATAAAACAAGAGCTATTTTTCTTTGATCTGAGTTGATATGGCGCTGGTTTGTCCAATCGCTGGGGCTCTTTGGGGAGCCGACAGTTACACTACTGCAAGGGCGCTGGGTACGATCCCTGGTTCGGCCTAATCATCGAATGTCATGCGCCACCTTTTCCCTATCATAAGGTGCTTTTTTTAAAAAAAGAAAATGTAGGGGCCATAGTGCTTGCGGAGGAGTCCAGGAAGCCAAATTTTTGTTTTTGCATAAACATCACACGTCTAAAAATACACAGTTGGTAACGTGTTGATGAAACACTTATAAGATGTATAGTCAGCCTAAAAAGTAGGACTAGATCACACCAACGATGTGTACTTCACAAGGTAAAACATAATTTTAACAGTAAATATTTAGAATTCTTCGTCATGGTGTCATGCCTAAATGGCGTCACCGATTGCGGACCGCGAATCCACCCCTGCCTTGTATATATATATATATATATATATATATATATATATATATATATATATATATATATATATATATATATATATATATATATATATATATATATATATATATATATATATATATATATATATATATATATATATATATATATATATATATATATTTATATATATATATATATATATATATATATTTATATATATATATATATATATATATATATATAATAGAAGCGGGCTGTGTCTGCCCTTCCTTCCTTCCGTCCGTCCGTCATCACTATAGATTTTGGAACCATAAAAGTAAACATCGCACCATTTAGTGCTTTGCAGTGCACCGTAGTGTCTTATTATAAGTAATAGAGTAGAAGTTGTTTATATAACGACATAAGGATATTTTATAATTGGGTGTTGCAGTAATACTTTGCTATATAACATGCTATTTTTCAAAAAATTATATAAATTAATTGGCAAGCGCTAAAATTATGTTTTAGCTGTCAAAAATTAAAACAAAATATTAAGTATCGATTTCTACGTGTTTTGAATTTTTTACTTCAAGAGAAACTATTGAAAATAATTTTTGAAATAATTAATAATATTAATTCATTAATCCATTCCAAGTTTTGGAAAAACTTCCGCCAGGGAGAGATTAAATTTTCCAAACTAGGGCCTAAATGAATTATTGTGATGATGATTCCCATTGATAAAAAAAACATGGCGGCTGCTTGTTTCTTGACTTCGCTTCAGCATTTTAAACTCATCATGGACTCCCAATATGCAACAAATATACAAAATTTCAAGTCTATTGTGTACGTACGGTTGGGAAGTAATGTATTTGCATTCACTTCTGACAGAAAAGTTTTGTGGCGGTAAGTAAATTAATTATTTTTTAAAGTTAATGTAAGACCTAGCAAGCCTAGTCCCAGGGGACATTACTCCTACTGGACGATTTGGTAAACAGTAAACAAACGTTTATCAAGTTCGACTTTACTCTTTACTTCAGCATATTGCAACTAGATCTAATAGTAATAGTAATAGTACTAATAGATCTCAATCTACCTGATCCTAAATCTGTTCTTTATACTTCCTTAACTAGGCCCTATACTAATCCCTCTAAATAAAAAATGACAGTGATTAGGCCTAGATTTTTTTAGTGTGTGTTTGTAGTTTGTAGAGAAGAGATCTAAGTTACTAGATCTAGAATCTAAGTACTAAGTAGTGACTTCGACTAGTCTAAGTGTAGACTGTAGACTACTGAGGATGTTAGTGTAGTTCACTTGAGCGTAGTTACTGAGTGTAATAAATTAAAATGTTAATAATATAGATCTATGACCTAATGATAATTAATAAATAATTATAATTCTAGATCCAGTGAGTAGGTCTGTGAGTCTTTAATTTTTTTTTCTAAATCTAGCTAGTTAACAACAGTGCTAAATCTAGTTAGTAACTAGAGAAATCTAGATCTAGAATTATTTAGTTTAGTAATTTAGTAGGTAATAATATTAATAAAATTAAAATGTTGACATCTGTTGCTACTGCGAACCTATCTAGATTTGATTTAAGAAGTAGATTTAAAGTTTAGTTGACTGCTAAAGATTAAGAAAGTCTGCTACTAACTAGAGTAGTAGGCATATGGTTACTTAGAAATCTAGATGTAGCAAGTATATGTGTAAATCTAGCAAGACCCAGTTATTTTGTAGGCATTGAATTATGGTTATTAGATCTAGAGTTTGGATTTAGTAATAGATTTGTCAATATTGACCTGAAGTTATAGATTTAATGGCTAGTTTTAATTGCAATTTTATTTATATTTTTGATACGCTTGATAATGTAAACTATGATTATAAGACAAAATTTTAAGTATAAATATTGTGTGTAAATTAAATCTATTTTTCAGAATACCTGAATGAAATCAGTGCATATAGACCTCTAGTAAACACAGAAGAAAGTACCCTACACATGTTCCAGGCAACCTTATCTAAGACTATCAACAAAACACAGGAAATCAAAATGTGTTTTAGAATGAAGACTTCATCTGAGTCTGCAATTTGTGAATAACAATATTTGATGCAAGAAAAAATGTCCCTGAAATTATGGGACAAATATTACATTAAATAAAGTGCCTTTATCTTTCTTTACATACTTAATAAATTATTAATTTATTTAATAAAAATTGAGCTTGTCTTAATCATTGAATTTGTTTATTGATTGTAATTGTTATTGTTAGTGTATGAAAATATTGTAAACTACAGTGAGAGTTGTAAAGTTCATGTTTCTAGCCTGTTGGTTCATGGATCAGACTGCAATGAGTTCACCTGTTTCTGTGACTTTGGCATATGAAGCGATGATGTGAGTTAGGTACCCCTCATTGCTGGGTGCACTCAGGGACTTTTTACTGACTTAAACCTCAATTCAACTTGATACTGTTGGGTTAGCAGTCTAGCGCCAGTGTGTTTTGCTTCATATAAAATTTGCAAGTTAAAAACACTGTTTAGTATCCTCAATCACTACAGCTTTTCAAAATTATTGAACTAACACACACACAAAGAACGTATTAAAACAACACTCAATACAAATAAAATAAATGTTAATGCTTGATCAAAATAAAAGAATTTATTTAGGATATATCAATATATATTTTTACAATGACCTACAAATACTAAATTGGGATTCATTGGTCAAGCAGTAGAGCACACAATTGCTAATCCAGAGAAGTGGTTTGAGGGCTTGAGTACATTAAGGGTAACTGGCTTGAGATACTGACTTTTAAGTGTAAACCACACAACTGTTTTATTAAAGAAAATATTAAATACACGCACATTGCTAAAACATATTAAAAGGATCAATGTCAAATATCATTTTCGTTTATATTCCTAGAAAAAGTGGATACATTTTAATAACATAATAACAGTACGGTAGAAAAATCAAATTAATTTAACTCTTTTCTAATTTTGACAAAGGAGGTAATTTAAAAATACATTAAACTCACGCTAATAAAAAATGTGAATGCAAATATACGTTCGTCATAGAAGGAATTAGTGTTGCAATAAAATAATTAGCAAAATGTGAATGCAAATTATTCGGATGTGTAAGAGGACATTGTTAGAAAATTATAATTAGCATGGATTGAGAAAAGGCAATCTTTTATTTATTTTATTCACTGAGTGTAGGCCCTACTGTTTATTACTTATAATTTTTAATCAACTATTCAGCACTATTATAGACGCGTCATCACGTTCATTAGGTGCGCAATGGTTTTAGTTATGAAACTCTATTGTAAATTTTTTAAATTTAAAGTACTGGAAAAAAAATGCGTGAATGAGTGTTGTGTTTGTTTTTTCGGGTTTTTTTTTTTTTTTTTTTTTTTTTTTTTTTTTTGCGTTCGTTTGTGTTGTGTTTAGTTTTGTTCTGTTGGTACATTTAAAAAAGATTTACCGTGGCGGAGCACGGGATGCAGCTAGTATATATATATATATATATATATATATATATATATATATATATATATATATATATATATATATATATATATATATATATATATATATATATATATATATATATATATACATATATGCAGTGCTTTTAAATTGCATCGCATTGTCTTCATCTATCTATCTATATAAAAAGCAATGTATGTGTGTGTGTCTGTCTGTCTGTCTGTGTGTCTTTTATGCATTACCACACCTCTTATCACATCGCCATGAAACTTTGGGAAGTTGTTGAGAATTTTCCTGGGGAGGTTTCTGCGAAAAAAATAAATTCAAATTCGTAGGGGTGGCGCCCTGGCAGGGCGCGATTTGTTTTTTCTCTCTGTATACAGTATATAAAAATAAAAGTCGATTTTGGTTTGACACCATTCATCCGATCGCCATCAAACTTTGGTGAGTTCATTAGAACACTTTGGGGAAGGGTTCTGTAAAAAAAAAATCATTTTTAATTTCGCAAGGGCGGCGCCACGGGAGGGTGCGATTTTTCTCTATATACGGTACATTAAAAAAAGTCGATTTTGGTTTGACACCGTTATCCAACAGCCATGAGACTATAGGGGAGTTAATTGGGACACTCTGGGGAAGAGTTTTGTAAAAAAAAATCATTTTTAATTTCGCAAGGGTGGCGCCACGTGAGGGTGCGTTTTTTCTCTATATACGGTATATAAAAATAATAAAAGTGAATTGCGGTGACACCGTTCACATGATCGCCATGAAACTTTGGGAGGATGTTGAGAATATTCCTGGGGAGGTTTTTGCGCTAAAAACATTTACAAATTCGCAGGGGTGGCGCCCTGGCAGGGCTCAATTTTATATATACATATTTATATATATATATATA